CGGGACTCCGAGTCTGCTCCTTTTCTCAACCCTTTGCAGCCCGTTTTAGTTCAATTTAACTGCAATCAATTACAGAGGTTAAATGTGATTAGCAGCAGGCAAAAAGAGAAGAAAAGGGAATGTCACGGATAATTTAGGAAGATTAATTATTTGTGAAGAATATTTTCTGTAGTGAAGAAAAGGGGGGGTTATATTTTTTCCGTGATCCTATGCACACGGTGACGGCTACGGTATCTGTTGACGGATCTGCGGATTTGTGGCATCAACGATTTGGACATCCACCCCCGCAGGTTATTGGGAAACTTTGTAATTTAGCTCCTACTCATGTTGCTAGTTTTGACAATAAAGCTTGCGATGTCTGTCTTCGTGCCAAGCATACTAGAGATTCATTTTCTTTAAGTGACAGTACTAGTTTGGAACCTTTTGCTTTAATCCATTGTGATTTATGGGGTCCTTATCGGGTCCCCTCATTTTCTGGAGCTAGATATTTTTTGACAATTGTTGATGATTTTTCTCGAGCTGTGTGGCTTTATTTGTTGGATGACAAATCTTGTGTTTCTTCTACTTTGACTGGTTTTTTCGCCATGGTGAAACGACAATTTAATAAATTGGTGAAAGTTGTTAGAAGCGATAATGGGACTGAATTTATGTGTCTCACTTCATATTTTCAACGTACCGGAATTTTACATGAGACGTCCTGTGTAGCTACTCCCCAGCAGAATGGTCGAGTGGAACGCAAGCATCGTCATATTCTCAATGTGGCACGTGCTCTGCGTTTTCAGGCTAATTTACCCATCGACTTTTGGGGACACTGTGTCTTGACTGCCGGATATTTAATCAACCGTACTCCCACTGCACTATTACGTGGGAAAAGTCCCTATGAGGTTCTTTTTGGCACAACACCACCTATTAAGCACCTTCGTGTTTTTGGCTGCTTGTGCTTTGTTCACAATTTGGATCGTTCGGGAGATAAATTTGCAAGTCGTAGCAGAAAGTGCATTTTTGTGGGCTATCCTTTTGGAAAGAAGGGCTGGTCAGTTTTTGATCTTGACACCCGGGAGTTTCTCGTCTCTCGAGATGTTAAATTTTTTGAGGACCAGTTTCCTTTTTTTACGTCACCTGCCTCTAGGTCTGATTCTGCGCCACTTGTCTCTTCTTCACCGTGGCCTACTATTGATGATGAGTCTTCCCTTATTCATGATTCTGCGCCGACCATTTCTCCCTCTGGGGCTACTGAGGTCCGAGGGGGTTCTGATACTGAGCTCTTGGGACGTGGCCATCGAACGAAGTTTCCCTCAGTCAGACTGCGAGACCATGTTACCAGTACTATTACCCCCCCCGTTCACTCTTCAGCCAACTCATTGTCCTCAGGTACACCTTATCCTTTAGCTCATTTTGTTGACAGTACTAATTTCTCTTCTGCCCATAAGATTTTCTTGGCAGCGATTGAGACATCTGTCGAGCCACGGACTTTTACCGAGGCCATGGATGATTCTAATTGGCGCTCTGCCATGCAGTCTGAAATTCAAGCCCTTGAAAACAACAACACTTGGACTCTAGTTCCTCTTCCTCCTGGTAAAAAGGCTATTGGATGTAAATGGGTGTATCGTATTAAGCACCGATCTGACGGGTCTATTGAACGTTATAAAGCCCGTCTGGTTATCCTTGGGAACAATCAGGTCGAGGGTGTTGACTATACTGAGACTTTTGCTCCGGTCGCAAAAATGGTGACTGTACGCACTTTCCTTGCTGTTGCTGCTGCTCGACAGTGGGAATTACATCAGATGGATGTTCACAATGCATTTCTGCATGGTGATCTCGATGAAGAGGTGTATATGAAATTGCCTCCTGGCTTTCGCTCTCAATCGTCTGATCTTGTTTGTCGTTTGCACCGATCTCTGTATGGTCTTAAGCAGGCTCCCCGATGCTGGTTTGCGAAACTCACTACGGCGCTTCGACGATATGGCTTTCGCCAATCTTATGCCGACTATTCTCTTTTTACCTTGTGCCGTGATGGTGTTCGGCTGCACGTTCTCGTGTACGTCGATGACTTGGTCATTGCCGGCAATAACAGTGGCGCCATTTCTTCCTTCAAGGCTTATTTAAGTCGTTGCTTTCATATGAAGGATCTTGGAATTTTGAAATATTTTCTGGGTCTGGAAGTTGCTCGCAATTCCTCTGGCATTTTTTTATGCCAACGAAAGTATGCTCTTGACATATTATCAGAAGTTGGTTTTCTCGGAGCTAAGCCGACCTCCTTTCCTCTTGAGCAGAATCACCAGCTCTCGCTTGTCACTGGACCTCCATTCTCCGATCCACAGAAATACAGACGTCTGGTTGGAAGACTTATTTATCTTGCTGTCACCCGACCCGACTTGTCTTATTCTGTCCATGTTCTATCTCAGTTTATGCACAATCCTCTCCAACCTCATTGGGATGCTGCTCTTCGCGTTGTGCGATATTTGAAAAGAAGTCCTGGTCAAGGCATTTTCTTTCGCGCTGATTCTGATTTACGTCTTACTGCTTGGTGCGATTCTGATTGGGCAGGTTGTCCTCTTACGCGTTGTTCTCTCACTGGTTGGATCATTCAACTCGGTTCCTCGCCTATCTCCTGGAAGACGAAGAAACAGCCTACTGTTTCTCGCTCTTCCGCAGAAGCAGAATATCGCTCCATGGCCTCTACCACTTGTGAGCTGTTATGGTTGAAGTCCCTGTTGGGATGTCTTGGTGTTGACCATTTATCTCCTGTTTCTCTCTTTTGTGACAGCAAGGCAGCCTTGCACATTGCCTCTAATCCAGTCTTTCATGAGCGTACTAAGCACATTGAGATTGATTGTCATTTTGTTCGTGCCGCGTTGTTAAAGGGTTTAATTGCTCCTAATTATGTTCCTACCACGACCCAGTTGGCAGATATTTTTACTAAGGCCTTGGGTGGCCAAGAATTCACGACTTTTCTCAGCAAGTTGGGCATTCGGGATCTTCATGCTCCAACTTGAGGGGGGGTGTCACGGATAATTTAGGAAGATTAATTATTTGTGAAGAATATTTTCTGT